CAAGAACACCTTGTCTAGATCTGATTCCACCACACTGCTGCCTCAGTGGAGAGGGGAGTTGTAACTGCCCTTGGGAAGCAGCCACTAAAAAGAAGCAGACCTGATGGACAGCACTGAATAAAGACCACTTCAAAGAGGATGGGCTTATTCACAATTTGGCCTTCCTTCTCGGTCGACAGGCCAAGAATTAAATGTCTGAGACAAAAGCTGTTGGGAAAGGTTTTGAATGCTCTTTTTTTTTTTTTCTTTTTTCCAATTCATTCAACATATATTTATATATTCAACATATATATAGGAGGGGGGAATACTGTATGTATATCCCTTTATTGGCTTTTATCTCGATGGTATAGCTGTACCTTTCGATTTTTGATAGTAATGGTAGGATTGCTTTAAGAGTGAAAATGACCCAAACTTCCACATGCACGCTATTAATAACGTATACAGCGCAATGTGATTGCCATCCCTCAGCAGATGATCCAGGGTTCATTCCCAACTCCACTCCCCTTTCCTACTCCATGGTCTAAATCTGCATTGGCTTTGTGACCCAACTGTCACCAATGCGGTCTAGAGGAAAGTCTGCGTGCACCGTCCGATGAGGGAGACAGGTGTCCAGCTCTGCCCCTAACCCACTCCGTCCTGCTGCAGAGACAGATGAAGTGCCTCAAGCTGTGGTGGGCGGGTGGCAGTCATGAGGATAAAGCACTAATCAACGAAGGATGCCAGAGAGGAAGAGAGGAAGATGCCGGGGGCACTGCTTAAGAAGTAAATCATTTGCCTCTGAGATCTTATTAGTAAAAAAGACAAACTTATTTTTAAAAAAAATCAACAGTGAAGATGGGCATGGTGGTGCATGCCTGTAATCCCAGCACTCGGGAGGCTGAGGCAGTTGGATCGATGTGAGTTCGATATCAGCCTGGGCTACACAGTGAGTTCCAGGTCAGTCTCAACCGCATAGTGAGACCCTGTCTCAAAAAACAAACAAACAAAAATATCAACAGTGAGTTTTCCATTGCTTACAGCTGAAGGCTGTTAATGCAAATATGGCCGGGGGAAGATCCTTTCTGGGTAGGTACCTGAGGATGTGCTCTGGTAGAACAAAGGAGAGCATCAAGAAAGAAGAGGCATGTCCAGAACAGTGGGTACACCCAGGGGAGCGGGGTAGCAAGCCAAAGGAGACCGGTAAGACAGCTGTCAGTAGTACTGGTGGTAGAGGGCTTGGAACAAGGGTCTTTGGGGAAAGACACACTCTGACACTGAGGATCTGGAGCTGAGTATATCAGTCAGCTTTCTGTCACTGGGACAAAACATCTGATTACATAGCTTAAACGAGTAAAGATTTATCTTGGCTCACAGTTTCAGAGGTTTCAGTCTATGGTCAGTTGGCTCCAGGTTTGACACATCATAGCAGAAGGGTACAGCAGAAAAAAAGCTGCTCTCTTCGGGGCAGTCAGGAAACAGAATGGAAGAGAAGAGCCAGAGAAGAGGCGTGGCCCCAGTGACCGCTGTCTCCAACTGTGCCCCACCTCTTAACAGCCCCTTCAGCTGTGGTTTAATTCATTGATAAGGTTAATGCCCTCAACATGAGCATTTCAGGGTTACTTCATATTTAAACCTTAACAATGAGCATGTATTACAGATAATTAAAGAAAAAAAGACTACAGAAGAGCAAACAAACTCCCCCAAAATGGAAATCATAGCATCCTATCCATCCACTCAATGAACATACAATGGAGTTCAATGTTTATCATTTTAAAGACTCTCCATAAACCCAGCATAAAGGACCTGGTTATGTCAGAGAACAAAAGATAACTACAAGAGTAAAAGTGTAGAGACAAAGAGTTGGGAATAGGGAAAAAAAGGAGAAGGAAGCTAAGAGTTTTAAAAACAGAAGGCATTAAGTATTAGTGATAAAACTAGAAATAAAAACATACAGACCTTATCAAAACTGCAAAATTTACAACATACACAGAAACCAAAGAGAGTGCTATCTGAAATGGCAGTAGAAAATCACGAAGGGTAGCTAGTGACAAGCAGGAAGAGCAGCTAGTCCTCTTCAGTTGAGGACTTTCTCTTTGGAATCCACTGTCAAGTACAAACATATATTAATTAACACTACCACATAATATATTTCTGTATTATCAGTCTTCCACCTGATTTCTCCAGCTTTTATGGAGAAGTCACTAGTGGGAGTTCTGCCTTGGTTCTGGGTCACAGGAACAGTCCCAAATGGGTGAGCCTAGAAACAGGAGCATCTGTGTATGATCTGCAGGTAAGGAGGAAAGTGTTCAGAGATGCCTTTTGGACAGAGTCCCAGCTTGGGAGGGCTGGGACCAGGGACTATTTTATTCATTATAAAGAAGCCCTCTGCATGCTTTAATTCTTTAAGCCATAGGATGTACTGATTTGGTAAAATAAAAATACTTCTTTAAAAAAGAACACTGACAGCAGTCTTGAAGGTTTTCTGTAATTTTCAAATTGCAAAATAGTGTGACACAATGAAAAATATAAGGCAGATTCCTGACTGACAGACATGTATTTTTATGACTACAATGAAATTTCAATTGTGTGCAATAAATTATGCTGTGCTTTTATGGAGTCATCTTCTATTCTGCCTACAGAGACAGAAGCACATGACAAACAAACCTCCAGGGCTAGAACAGCACTGTGCCACTAAGAACATGAAAGCTGATGATCAGCTCCGAAAATTTATGTCACTTTTATTTGTTTGTCTTATTATTTTGAGGTTTTTGTGTTCCAACTAACCACCTTCCTGCATTACAGTTAATCATTTTTCACTCACTTCTCTCTTTCTTCCATTTTTTTAAAACTATAAATGTGATCCCCAATTCGATCAGGTTGCCACAAAGGCCAAAGGGAAGCACGAGGATTTGCTCCCCCACATCCAGTGCCAACTAAATGAGTAACAGCTAGACTCTCTTCATTTTTTAAACATCTACACAAACCATTTACTCACCAATTTCTCTCAGGTCACATATACTACAAAAAGTATGAAAATATAGTGCAAGTTTACAGAGAAGTTGGCCAGCTGTACAAGAAGAAATATTCTAAAAGTATACACCTAACAGGCCACATAGGATGTCTGTTTCTGGAGCAAAGAGTAAATGACTAAAGTGAACATTAAGATATTAGCTGGGAGCCAATTTTATCATTTCAATTTCTGCTGCTTATGCAAGAGACTGACTGAACAATAGCCAACAATAGTAGGTGTGATAAACACAAGGCTGATCTACGTTGTAATTATAAAAAGAACGAAGATAAAGATCAGAGCTAATTATAAAACATACGCTGCAGCGCTGTGCTGCTTCCACTTGCTGCCTCAGTTGACGTTCTTTTCCACCTCATCTCCTTCATGAGGAACAAGTCAATTAAATTTTTGTTTTTCAAAAAAAAGGTGCACGTAAATCTCTTTTTGTTAACTTATGAAATGAACAGCATCTTAGGCTGATTAATCCTTACGACATTACAGAGAACACACACAGTCCTGACGGAGCACACACCCATGCCGGGAAGGAAATCTGAAAGGATTCATCAGTAAAAAGTGAGCCTGTGGCTGAAGGGAAGAGGGTCTATATCCAACATACTTGAATTAACGAAGATGGGTGGACTGGTCTTTTTGCTGACCACTCCTCCTTGCTCAGACACTGAGAAAAAAAAGTCAGGCAGGATTCTTTGGCTTTTTTTACTGAAATATTATAAATATAAAAAATTATCTGCAATATTTATGGCTTGATGCGAAGAAACAAATTATTTCTCAGTGCTTTGGGCTTTTTGGTGTTCATTAGACAACCTATCCTTGGGTAAACCTAGATAAAATACCCGAGAATAAGGTTAAAAATTGGTGATACAAAATTTGATTTTTCCCCTCTCTTGTGAGAGAATGCAAAACAAAGATGCAAACAAACAAACCTGTAGCTCTCAGTGCCATTTCCAAGGATAAAGGGCACTATATTTATCAGTCACTCTTATGCAGTGTCCCGAATAAGGACTTAATTTACGCATATGAAATATTAAACTGCAGACATGTTAACTGTAAATTCTACCAAATAGAATTTCAAATTTCGTTACTGACTCTTTCAGCATTATTCTCTGATGAAATATGAAAAACAAAACAATACATTAAAAATGAATAGACCCAAAAAGGCTTCAGGAAACACACCAAAGAACATTGTTTGTTCCTGGATTGAGAATTTCCTGCATTGCAACCAATCAGAATTCATGGCCCCCTGGAGGCTGCAGAATATTTTAATTCTGACACTCCCATGTAGGTCACAGGCTGGAGGCCTCTTAATTGAATCGGCCTCCTCAATTTCTCTTTAGAATTCACCATTTAATTCAAGCATCAAATATTAATTAAAACAACCAGGCAAAAAACATCACCTCATTATTTGAGCACCACTCAGGTTCTCTGGTGCCTTACATGGCAGGTACTGGTGGCAGGTGTTTTAGTTTTAACTATTTTGCTTGGTGGCTTTCGTTAAAAAATTCAAAAGGGGGCTGGGGTTTTAGCTCCGTGGTGCACCTGCCTTGTAAGTGCAAGGTCCCGAATTCGATCCCCGGTACCAAAAACAAAACAACAACAACAACAAAAAAAACTCAAAAGAAAATAAGTAACAAAGATGCTAGTGAAAATGAAAATTGGAATTGAAGAAATGGATCGAAAACTCAAAAGAAAATAAGTAACAAAGATGCTAGTGAAAATGAAAACTGGAATTGAAGAAATGGGTCGATTTCTCCTAAAATAAATGTGTATTATTTTGATACTGTCTTATAGGCAGAGACCAATGGAGTGCAACCAACTCTGTTAATTGTATGACCTCATATATAATGGGATGTAAAATAGGTTCATCAGCTTGCTCTGAGAACCTCCCCAGAGCCCATCAAATGTGCTACCTCACCCTCAGAATGTCTACAATGTCTAGCACCCCAACTTCCCACCTGGCCCTTACCCCAGGGGAAAAAGGAAACCTAGTCACACTTGCCTCTAGCTCCTGCTCCCTCTGCAGTGCAAACTGCTTGAAGGACTTGACGATCAGGCCGGCATTGGAGCAGTCATAGACGAAGATGGATGGGCTGCCCATCCATGTCTGTAGGTCATAGATGGACAGAGGGATATACTGAGTATAGTTCTGGAAAACAAGCAGAGTACACATGGGTTACAAGTACATTTCACAAACTAGGCTGCTGACCAGCACGTGTATGTTAAAGAAGGAATAACATATCTTGCCTCATCACTGGACAGATGTTCTTCGGTTTTCACTCTTACAAAACTACCCATAACAGCAAGCCAGAGGTCTCTGGTTTTCTTATATGCTATCTCACTTTAGCAATGCCAACAGCTGGAAAGCTTTCTATGTTCACTTCTGCAGCCCTGGAGCTGCTCTGTAGATGCCCTGGCTTCCCCTTAGAAGATGGGTTCATGCCCACTGCTCCGCATATCCCATGGTTACTGCTTATCACCTTAAAGGATATGTGTGCTATTAACACCGTCTCTTGGTAGCTGTTCTGTGCTTATAAGGCATAGTGCCCATTTACACAGAAGATCAGCTTTGAAGAGTTTATCAGGTCCTCGAATGTGCATGACTTCAGAGATGCCCACAAGTACTTTATCTTCTAGGTGATTTTTAAAAATCACACATAGTGACACAAGTGGGTTTGGCCTTGTAAATTTTTTTCAAATCACAAACAATAAACTATTAACACTAATCTACTAAGTGAGGCATTTTTCTGGACACATTGTTCTGTTTTGAAAAGACTCTAGTGATTACTTGTAAGCACAGCAGGGAAAGTCCTTGTCTCACAAGAAAAATGCCTAAAATGCTCACTCAAACTATATTTTAAAGCAATTCTTCACAGAATACCTTCACTTACCTTTCCTTGGACATCAATAACGTAGGTAGAAAAACTGACAGAAATCAAATTATGCACACTTAGACTAGAGTAAAGGTGAGTTTGTTTCTGAGCAGCTGAAGCCAAATACTGCCTCTGGTATTGCCTATGAGTTGTTTATGGCTCAGCAGGAAGTCAAGAAGGTCGAGCCAGGCCTGGGGAAATGTGGTAGCAGGGTGGCCTGCAGCTCACACAACATGCACAGCAAAGAACCGGCCGGAGTCGCCTCCCAGACAGGACAATGCATTGGGCCACCAGGGGAGGTGCGCACACATGTACAGGGGACCAAGGCACCCTGCGTATATGCTGCCATCTCATCTGTGACACCGTCCTCGTTTGGTGGATTGTTTACGATCACTGCAGTCTGTTAGGGAACACCTGGAAATGTTCTCTAAGTAAACTCTCCCTCAAGGATTCTAAAGATGTCAATTCTCCCCTAATGAATCCATACCGTCCAAGCAAGCACAATCAAAACACCCGCAGGAGTTTTCCTTTAATGGAATTTGACAAGTTCATTCTAAAGTGAGTGCAGAAGAGAGATGCACAAGATTAGAAAAAAATTTTAATAAAGAATAATGAATAGAGACTCAGCACTACCAGATATTAAATACACTATAAATTTATGGTAATTACAGGCTAGCATTAGTGAGGGTAAGAAAAACAAATCAACAGAACAGAAAGCCTAGAATAGACCCACATACATAACTATAATGACAGTGGCATTTTAAATCAGTAAAAAAAGAATGAAGAGTTCAGTTAGTGATGCTGGAGAATCTAACCATCTGATATTGTCTCCTCAGATTCCATACACAAAAAAATCAGGGTGGACTAAAACCCAAAATGTAAAAGAATAAAAGGTTTTTATTTGGGGCTAAGAAAAGTCTTCATAAGTCAAAAAACTGAAAAGTTTTAGGGCTGGGCATTTAGCTCAGTGGTGCTGCCTCCTGCCTTGAAAGAGCAAGGTCCTGAGTTCAATCCCTAGTATTAAAAAAAAAAAAAAAAAATTGGGAAGTCTTGAAGAAATGGATCAATAGATACAATGATATAAAATATAATTCTGATAAAAACACATAGCAATGAATGGCAAGCTCACCAGAAAAGTGATAGAATTTATATTTGAAAAGTGTGTATAAGCTTCTGCTACAGATCAACAAAGACAAAAACAACAATAAAAACAAACATAACAGGCAGAAGATCTGAGTAGTCAATCCACAGAGCAAATGTGAATGATTAGTGATTACAAACCAAGTTTCACACTCTCAACTGATCATGGAAATATAAACAATGAGAATCAGTCTACTGATGTATCCATTCATCCATCCTATTGTGTTTTCATCCAGCACACTGGAAAGAAAGATAAAAGATGGATAATACTCCATGCTGACAAAGAAGATGTGCTGACTCATCACTGAACAGGGCACTCATTAAGTGGTGGGAATGGAGATTGAGGAAGCTTTTCTTTGGAAGCCAAGTTTACGGTACTGATACAATTTTAAAATGTGCATTCATTTTGAAGACTTTTAGGTGTCCACACTATAGGAACAGTAGTATTTGCACACAGAGATACTGGTACTAGTAAAACACTGTGAACTACCTGGATGCCACTGTGCAGAGACTAATGTAATGATGTAGTTATCTGTTTTCTCCTTCCCCATTGAGCAGACTCTTACCTGGACACATTGCCCAATTTCCTTTGCATCTAAGTTCCAAACTGCAGCCAATGGGACACGAGCAGTAGAAATGTGTTCACATTATAAATGATGCCCAATGCCCATCTTGGGGGTTATGGATGTGGTAAACATCTCTGACAATGCTGAGGGTGATAGCTGAGGTACAGCAGAGTTGGGAGATGAAGGAGCCTAGGCCCAAATGGCAATCAAATCAAGGACAGAGCAGCTTAACCTGGAGCCTTTCTGGATCCTAGCACATTCAATATAAAAGAAGCAATAGGCATGTTGTGTGTGGTAATGCATGCCTGTGGTGCCAGCTACTCAAGAGGCTGAGGCGGGAGGATATCTTGAGTCAAGGAGTTCAAGGACTGCCATATTCTGCCTCAAAATGAGGCTATTTTTATAAGCACTTCTATAGAATGATGTCAGGGGCTTTCTGTGGTTTTAAAAATGTAAATCTTGGAATATCATAGATTATATAGCTTCATTTTATATGAAGAAAAAGAAGAGCTATGAATGTAAGGTGCTGTGCCCCCACCACCTGGGCAGCACTTCACACATCATCATAAAATGCAATAACTGTGCTGATGAGTGAACCAATCACTTGAGAGGTGCTAAAAGAGTAAGTACCAAACTGCCATGGCTGTTTTCTCAGGGAGGTTAAGGTATGGAAGGCATGTCACAGTTATTTCTTTAATGCTTCTGTGTTGTAGTCATCTTTCATAGTAGAAATTAATTCTGTTTAAAAAGCATGCAGACTGTCCAGAGGGAAGAAAGGGGCAGCCTCTGGGTTTCAGGAACAGACTTGCAGGTTCCTTTCTGGTTGTCAATGAGCAGAACTGCCCGTCAACTGCACCACTAAAGATGATTCAGCAGGGGCCACATTTGATAGCCCCCTGGACCAAGTCAGCAGGGCCTAAAAGCAGGTCTCCCTGGGAACAGATGTCCATGCTCCTCCCTGGTCTGCAATGAGCAGGGCCACTGTGCCTGCTGGAGTAAAGTTGCTTCAGGAGTACCATGTGGACAGATCCTGATCTGAGTCAAGAGGGCACATTAACAGGCCGAAAAGCAGGGTGCTCTAACCTAGCAGGAAGAAGGACTATGGTAGCAACCCAGAATCGGTGTGTTGTTATGCACTGAAAATACTGTGTGCTGCTTATAAACCTCCCGCAACGTCCTAGGGCCAGTGGTAGCGAACCTATGGCATGCATGCTGCAGTGGGCGGTTTGTATCATTAAAAAGTTTGCCATCTCTGTCCTAGGCCCTGCGAGAAATCTGAGTACAAATCACACAGTCCTCATCACTGTCGGTACAGTATCATCTAGGTGACTGTCAGTGATACTGTCACCTTTCCTGCCTTCCAGGTGTAAGCCCACAGGTCCCACAGATAGCAAAGGAGCACGAAATAAAATAGCCTATTTTCTATATTTGAAAAAATCAAGTTATGTTTAAATTCTGAGGCACAAAGTTAATTAACAGTGATTCATTAAAATGATGTACTAATGCACCAGGAAAACCATTAATGACTTTCGCTTCCAGCCCCTATGACCTGCTGGCAGCTAAGACTGGGGTCCCAAGTGATCTTGCTACCAGGTGAACCAGGGCTGTAGCCTTGGCCTCATGACTTTGGTTATGAGGGACTTTCAATGGATACAATGCCACAGGAAGCTCTTTGCAGAGAATGGCTTAAAAGCAAATGCTTCCCTGGTCCTTCCTGAGTGGCCCCTCTCTGCCTTGGTACTGTAGACATCTGGAGCCAGATCACTCTGTGTGGGCTGTTTATATACTGCACACATCCTGCTCTACCCACTATGCCCCAGAACACTTACCCCTTCACAGGAATCACAATCAAAAAGGGCTCCAAGCCGGAACAGTGGCATACACCCCTGGCTGTGCAGGATGCAGAAGGATTCTAAGTTCGGTGTTCAATCACTAGTACCTTTAAAATGTCTCCAGGCCTTGCCAAATGCCCCTAAGAGGAAAACCTCTCTGGTTCAGAACCACTGCCTTGGAAGGGACAACTTCATTTAAAATGTTAGCTGTGTTAAGTTTAGTAAGACTGCAACAATTTGGAAGTCTGTATCCCTTAGGGAGTATAAAATCAACTCTATTAAACCACTGTGAGGAAGATGACCTTTGAGAGCTCATCCTTATTAGAACATGAGCACGTGGATCGCACTTCCCATCTCGAAGAGATCCTGGGTAGTTTGTCAAGCCCCAGGCCAAAATTACAGCCTGTAAACCAGCAAAGGGCAGCAGCAAATTATAGCGCTGGTGCCGTGGGAGCGAGCTTACAGGAGCAGGAAGAGGCAGAATCCACATCCAAGGTGCACTGTCCTCTGTCCCTGAATATTCCCGAAGTAGATGGGAGGAGCTAGCTCAGACAAGCAGGTGCATCCAAAATCCCGGGTACACTGAAGGTCACCTGAAACACTGAGGGCTTCTGTGGAGGGCTGGTTCCACCTCCACCCAAAATTCAATGTACAAAGAATTCCTAATCAAAGCATCTCTCCTTTCTCTTGGAAAAGCATATTCAAGGCCATGTTTTCATTTCAAACAAAGAAACAGAA